AAATAAAAAGTTATAATAATACTATAAAAATATTAAAATAAAAAAGAAATAATAAATGATATTGTACGGGTAGGGGCGTTCAGCCACCCTCTTATCGGCCGCCGAATGGCCGAACCAGGTGGCCGATTGCCAATCGGTCACCTGGATCGGCTTATCTTTATTAATTATCTTTAATAAATGATTAATGGTTAATTAGCTGATTAAGAAATATTACCTAATACGGTAAGTATGTTACAAAGCCCATAAGGTCCAGGGCCCACGATTGTCAGTATAAATAGCTCAGGTCAAAAGGTAACGTCACTGTTCATTAATTACTCTAGATTTCCGTGCTTGTGCTGACTTGAGCATCGGAGTGCCTTTTGCAGGTACAAACCCGTCTACTCACGTTGGATCGGAATACTCGTTCAGAACACTCGTTCGGCCTTCAGAATACAAGAAGATCATTGGTGTATCCTTATTCAGGTACACTGATAAAGAAAAAACTTATAATTTTGTATCGTAAATCCTCCTTTTAAGTTTATAATAAGATTATTAATTAGAAAAATAACAAGTATTGATATTTGAAGTGAATGTTTCCACTTATCATCACTCTAAATAAATAATATATAATAACAAAGAGATGATAAAAATGATGATGCTAAATAGCAACAATATAAATAAAAGTCACGATTTATGAGAAACTAATTGCACAGTGGATATTTCAGTTTGCTCTTAATTAAACTTAATCACCCAGGCACAGTGACATATTATTAAACATAATTTTGACTTGTAAACATAAGGTAAGAAAGGTTGGAGCAAAAGACAAAGGTCTTTGCACCCATATATGGTTCTTAACAACACAAGATTTTATTCATGAAATACATAGACACTAAGGAATGCCACCAATGCGAGGGATGCCACCAATGCGTGGGATGCCACCAATGATATCTAGGTAACCATCACCCACTCCATTTTTCTCGCTAACACCTTCACCTGCAAACACATGCATTTAACTCTTATAAAACGAACCATTTACGATAAAAGATGAATAATTTGCACTCTCCCATTAAGAGGGATAGGAGAAAAAGAGAAAGATAACTTATAGTTTTGTAAGAGGCTAATATTACTTATAGTTTTGTAACTTTTTTTATCGGTCAAAAATAACTTTCATTGATGAAGGCCTGATGATATTCAAATAAAAATAAGAATAAACTTAAGAAAATGGTCTTCCCATATGGTTACTTCATATTAAATGTTAGTATTAATTATTATATTATAATATATGGTAACTTTTAAATTTGAAATATTTTTAATAAACACGTGAACGGTCACTATTTTGAAACAATATATTATAATTAATGGCTATGTTATAATATATAAAAACATGTGATCAGATTATATTATCATGTGTCATAACCGCATAAATCTAATAGTTAAGAGTTAATGTAATATGTATAAGTTCTTAAATTTGAATTTTTTTTATTATTATAATTTTTATTGATTAAAAATATGATAACTGAATGATTATTTGACTTGATGGTAAAAATAATTTAAATAATTTCATCTTTATTTTCACCATTCATAAATATTCTTATTATCATAAATAGTGAAAATAATAAATAATGATTATAAATAGTAAATAGTAAATAAACTATAAAGAAAATAGTAAATAATACATATATATATATATATATACATTCATAAAATTAAAATAAAAATTATTTAATATATTCTTATATATAAGCCATTTATAAGAATACTTTAATCAAAACTATATTTTTAATTATAATTATATAAAAAAAATGCGGATGTTTCGCTTAAATTTAAAATAATGTGTAAATTATTAAGAAATTATATAAAACTATTTTTAATATTAAAAATACCAAGTCTAGGTGAACATTATATCTACTTGTGAAATATGTCTCGTGTGCTGTAAAAGGTGGGGGCAGAAGAAAAGCCTCTCTGCATGCATGCCTCTCACTACGTGAGATCGATGTTATTCATGAAATACATTTAAAAAGAATTGAAAAAATTAACATGTGAGAGCTTCTATAAATTAGTTTATAAATAAATAAATTTTATTTTATAGAAAAACTAATTTCATTTTTTTTCTTCTTAAAAGTGATTTTAAGAAAATTTAACCATGACCCTTACCACTAGGGAAGACAGCACCATCTCCAGGACGTTCATCAATGCGTAGGGTGCCGGCTATGCGTGGGCGACTACCTACGGTGATGAGATGAGATGAGAAATAAAGAAATAAATAAATAAAGTGAACATAAAAATTGAGGTCACAAAAGGTTAAATGGGAATCATTTGGAAAATATACAAAATGCCGAAGGTGATGAGTCCTTTATGATAGGATCAAGAAACTCCTTTAATTGTAAACAACTTCTAAATTTGAAGCTTCGATTTATGTTTTAAGGATATTAATTAAAAGTTAAAAAATAATTGGGATTATAATGCGTTGTACTTTGCTTTTTTTTTTTTTTTCATTTTTGTTCATGAAAAAAGAAACTGATATGATTGAATAATTTTTTTTTATCATTATTTTGTCTTAGTTTCTGTAATATATCTATCTTTTTAACCCCTGTAATATTTGCACATTTTAAATTAATTTTTATGAGAAAAATGATAAAGATGGACTAAAAAATTAAGTAAATTATCCATATATTACAATGACAAAAAAAAATATAGCCAAACAAAAGATTTTTTTTTGCAAGAATCATTTAAAGAAAAAGTTGCAGGGATAATATATAAGCGTAATTACATGAACAAAAAAGTTTAAGTCAATTATAAATTTTAAAAACCTATAAGACAGAAAAAAAATATATATAATGTGATATGTAATGCTTAATTATCTTTTCATAAACTTATTATATTTTAAAATTTTAACTAGTGTTATAAAAGCATTTAATTATCGATCTTACTTTAAAATATATACTCATGAGAGTGTATATAAGGCAAAATGATGCATAACTCACCCTCTATAAATTTCCTGGCTTCCACCTGTGAGGAGATTAAAAGGAGCATCGCTAACAGGCCAGGGATAAGTATTGGTATCTTTCTCTTCGAATCCATCTTTCAGTTGAAAACTATAGCAGATTAACTCAAATGATGTATGTTTGGTATGAGAAAATTAGGGGGAAATAATATACTCTATATATAGGAGGGGAGGAGAGAGAAAAATGAACCATTCTATGATATATATGTATTTTTCCAGAATATAATCTTAGTGTGTTCATTTACCTATCTCAAAAAGTCATTAATTAAAATATTATAAGGCAAGAACAAAGCTTGATCGCCATTGTTATAATAACTGAATCACAATAGTTAATAATGCTTGCATGTGGACTTGATATTATTAAGATAATAGTTGAAAATAACTAATAATATGACAAAAAATTACAGAAAGAATCTTAAAAGATGTGAGATAAAATAAGATAAAGACATATATTTGGCCGCATATACCTTGAGATAAAATAATGATTAAAATTGTATATATGTTGTTTTTTTATATCATCAAATGGCTAACCATTCGACATTCATAAAAGTTGTCTACAAAATTTGAACTTCTTTTAATCAAGCATGAAGCACAATACCAAATGATGTGCCAATTAATACAGTATAAATATTAACTATTGTTTGCTTCTTCCGATTTATCGTTAGTATTTGTCGAGAGATATTTCAAAAAGTTAAGCGTTAATTTATATATGCTTAGTTTTATTGAAGGTCATTCTTAAAAGAAACCTCTTAATATACTTTTTGAAGTTCATTATTAAAATTTTGAATATTTATTTATTTTACACTTGTACTGTCTGTACCTCTATGCCGAGTTCGAACTCGGCATCTCAATGCAGAGTGACCTCGGACACGCGCTGTATGACGTCAGCTCGTCACCCAAACATGTCATAACTGATCTCGGGCCTAAAGCCCAGTAAAATCCTAATTCATACTAAGGTATGTGCATTATTTATACGAGACTAATACTCCCACAAACCCTAACTTTGGCATCAGAGTCTCTTTTGCAGGTACCACCCCCATCTTGGAACATCAAACGTATCAGCGAAGGAGGCTCACCGATCTTACCCAGCGGATTACCTCTACCTCGGATCCCCGGTAAGAACATTTGGCGCCCACCGCGGAGCCGATCAAGACAGCTCTTATCGGCCACTCGTATGGTTTTCACCAGAAGCCATAGCAAACGCGCAACAGACGACCTAGATCACGCAACTAGCATGGATAACGAAGCAGCGTTGAGGAGACTGATCGAGCAGGTCGAGCAGATGCGGCAGCAACACACCGCCGATCTGCAAAGTATGCGTGCCAAGCACGAAACTAACCTAGCCGCGATGCGTACCGCTAACGAGGCTGACCTAGCAGCGCTGCGCGCCGAGAACGAGCGTATCCGCGCTCAGCTCCCTCGGCGTCCCTCTGATCAACCCCCTCCACAGAGCAACCTGCACGAGGAGGAGGGCCACTCGGTTTCTCAACCGCCAACCGCGACTAGGGTACCGACTCCCAAGCCTGCCACACATCGGTCCCACGTACTGACGAACAGGTCGGCCCATGACGTCAGTAATGTACCTACACACGTCACGGGAAATCAAGCGACTTTCCGCCGTCATCCTTTTGTGGATGGCATCATGGAGACGCCCCTTCCCTTTGGCTGGAAACCTTTCCACCTCGATTGCTACGATGACACGACAAACCCGGACGAACACATCGATCTATACACCACACAGGTAAACCTTTATACTAATGAGGATGCTATACTGTGTAGGGTCTTTCTGACCTCGCTCAAAGGGGCCGCGCTCAACTGGTACACCCAGCTACCTGCCGAGTCAATTGATAGCTTCGGCACCCTGGTCAGACGGTTCATAGCACAGTATGCGACAAGCCAATCTCATCACATAACGTCAGCTACCCTGGTCAGTCTCAAACAGAGCGACGAAGAACCACTTCGGACGTTCATGGAAAGATTCGCCGCCATCTCGGTAAAGATCCAAAATTTGAATCCCGAGGTCGCCCTACACGCCATGCTCATGGCACTCAAGCCCGGACCGTTTGTTGATAGTCTATGTCATGAAGCTCCTCGCGATATGGACGAGCTCCGTACCCGTGCTGTTGGGTACATCCAAATGGAAGAACATTCTGCCTTCCGTGACCAGGTTCGCGGAAAATCACAAGCGAAGCCCGACAGTGGCCACAAAGACAAGATGAAGGTCACCAATGATAACCAGTTCAAGGAAACTGCTAGGACAAGCAAGGCGGGGAGATACGACTTTTACACTCCCCTGAATACGCCCCGGGTTCACATCCTGGAGGAGGCAAATAATAGCGATCTGCTCACCCTGCCACCACCAGGTCACACTACTAAAAGTGAAGAAAAGTACAAAAACTGACGATACCACCGAAACCACGGTCACACCACTGAAGAGTGTCGCACACTCCGAGACCGTATCGAAGAACTCATCCAGGCAGGTCACCTC